ACATGAAAAATGGTCAAGATAAGCAAGAAATCCTTAGTGAGTCAAGGTTTGGGGTCCTAGGATAAGAACACAGGGATAATGATGAGATCAAGAAGGGTGGATGAGAGATGGGATTCTGGGGTGAGGTCGCATGCTCAGGGGACTTTAGCAGGGAAGTGAGTAGAAAGGGGGAAAGCAGCTTCCTAGTCTCCCTCAGCTCAGTTTTCCATTTTGCAAACTGGATATGGAAATTGGAGCTGGAGGATACTGCAGGCTGAGAATGGGAGGTGGTGTCAGGCATGGTGAGGGTGCCCCAGCTTTCGCTAGGGGTCCTGTCTTGGAGAGGCCCAAGGGCCTAGGACGCTGTGGGGAAGAGTCACACAGGGAAGGTCTCCTGTGAGAAGACACTGGTTAGGCTTTGAGGAAAGGGTTTTCTTGATAAGCAGAGAAATGCTTTGCGGCTTGTAAGTCCGGTTTCAGAGCTCAGGAATCCTTGAGATGGGCTTCTCCGTGTGAGTGGAGGCTTCCGCCATCTTCTACCATCTTCCTTCCAGCTGATGTCAAGCAGTGCTGGGTACAGCCTCCGTCGATTTACTGTAGGCACAGGTGCACTAGAATGCACACATGTTTACGCAAAGCCCACACGTGCTGCTGGACCTACTGCGGAAACATCTGCTTGTACAGCGCGTGAGTCTGTTGCTCCCTCACTGCTCCTCAGGGGAGATGGGACCCAGACACTGGCCAAGGGCCTGACAGTGTCAGGCACACCTCCTCTGCCCACGCCAGGCTGTCACACGCTGCAAATTAAACCAAGTTGTTTTTTTTCTCTTACTCAGTCTCCCCACCCCCAAACATCACCATCAGTGGTTCATTCCTCCTCTTGTCCAAGGTCTCGGGCACCCCCTCCTTAGTCTAGTTTCTCCACTGGCCCCGTGGATCAGCCAGGTCCAAGGAGACCCAGCATCTGCCTGTCTCCCAATCAGCAAACCTCTTGGAGAAATTGCTTACAAGATTCTCTACAGAGAAAATTCCTCTTTCCATGAACTGGGGCCAAGGGTGCTATTATGTCTGGGAATGGATGTCTCCCAGTGCCCCTGACTTCTAACCACGCCATTGTCTCTTCCAGAGAACCCTTTAAAACGTTCTTTTACTGACTAGCTGACCCAACAAGGGGTTAAGGAGTGACTTGTGGTCTAGGGAGACTGAGTTTGGCTCCTGCATGCTCCAGCCGAGAACCTCTCTGTCCTCGCCTCCCCCTCGCTGTCCCCAGGAGGCTCAAGTCTTTGCCAAATAAACGGATGCACCAACCTGACAGCTATGCATGCTTTCATCCCTGTGACTTTCTTTCTCTCATTACAATCTTCAATAGTCCCAGCAACCATTCCTCTCCCATCACAGGCACAGCACCCGCGCTACCTTCCAGTTACACCTATGTCCCAGGCAGGTAGGCTCAGGGCTGTAGCAAAAGTACAGAGATTTCTGAAAATCTCATGGAGCTAACACAGCAAAAGGTAAATTCTTACTCATAATGTATTTCACTGAGCCTGGCAGTTAACAGGCACCTGTGCCACAACTCAAGGGCCCCAGCTCCTTCCACCTGCAGCTCCAGCCCTCCAGGGCCTCCTCTACATCCAGCTGGCAGGTGAGAGGAGAGAGGCAGCAGGGAGGCCCCATAGAATGTCTGTAAGTAATGTTCATGATTTCTAACATCATCTTACTGACCACATGTCAATGGATTGTTCCATCTATATCCAAAGGACATTGGAAAATGCAGTCTAAGAAAAAAAAAAAAAAAGAGAGAGAGAAAATGCAGTCTAGTTATCTGCCCAAGAAGAACAGATAAAGGAGCTTGGTGAACGCAGAGCAGTCTTTGACCTGAAAAGCCAGATGCCTCAGTGCTGAGCCAAGACCCTGGCTCCACGTCACTCTATTCAATGCAACAAGCGCCTCCCCTGCAGGAGCTGTTTTCTCCTGTCATTAGAAAATATATTCATGCCCTCAGGGTGGGGAGACTGAGCTTCCAGAATGACCCCTCCTCTGTCATTCCCAACACCCCCTTATTCCTGCCAGGTCAATCCTGTCAGCACAGAAGTTTTGGCTGGATAATACTACGCTGCTCGTGCCCTGAAGTTCAGACAATGCAAGGCAGGCATCTGTGTACGTGTTCTTTCCCCAGATTGTATCTGAATTTCCACCATTTGCCATTACTATCTTGAAAATCATTCTAAAAATATGACTTCTCCAGGGTGAATACCTGGTATGTGTCCAAGCTTGTACCTCTTCCTGGCCCAGGACATGATGTTCTCACATAGCTGGACAAGCCAGCACACTGACTTATTAACTGCATAGTCCAAGGAGAGGCTCAGGAGTGTGATCCAGCTAAGGCCAAGGCCCGGCAAGGGACTAAGGTCTAACAGAACATTGGTTAGTGCCTTAGAGCTCTAAGTTATGAGAGGGGGCGAGAATTCAGGGGGTCAGGTAACGTTCTTTAGGAGTGGAACTGTCTTTAAACCTTGAGAAATAGGGAGGACTTGGGGTTCTTTAGTGTGAATGTGGTTTTTCCTCCCTAGAGAAGAACAAAACATTAGAGCCTCAAAGGAAGGACCAGGGAGGAAAGGGTTGTCTTCTTGGGTATCTTATTTTGATATCATATGTCACTCATGCCTTCATCTACCAAGCCTAGGTCATGAGAGATGTTCCTGACTAATATTAGCAAAAAGTAATTGGCACAGTGGAGCGAAGGACACAGAGGGATCAGTAAATGAGGACAGACAGATAGCACTGCCCCTCTGCCAGCTACTCATACACAGAAATCAAGGAGTATGAGTTGTGTAGACCGCATCAAGGGAGCTTGGACAGTGCCGCTTACTGAAGAGGAAATGTGCCCTTCTTTATCATGATGGATAACGTTAGTTGAACAGGCTCTTCATAAAAGAATGACAACCTCCAAATTTTTAATAAATACATATAAAGGTGCCCAACCTAGTCATCAAGATAATAGAAACTCAACCCACAATGCACACACACATGTATACCTCTCAGAATGGCTAAAATGAATTTTTTAAAAAATAATCACCAAGTGTTAGAGAGGATGTGAAAACACTGGGACTCTCACATTCTGCTAATGGGAGTACACAGCAATCCAATCACTTTGGAAGACTGCAGAGCAGATCAACTCAAATTGAAAATATGTGTATTCCATGATCCAACAACATCTGTTTCTAGGTAGATACCTAATGGGAACATATGCATATGTGCTCAAAACCTTTTATATTTATCTATCTATCTATCTATCTATCTATCTATCTATCTATCTATAAATGATTATGAAAACATTCATGAGACCATAATCTGGGAAAAACCAAATGTCTATCAAAAATGAAATGGATAAAATTTTGTTTTATAAGCAATCAGTGGAATATTACACAGCAATGAAAATGAACCAATTACTGAAACATTTCAATATGAACTGAATCTCAAAGGCATTATGTTGATCAAAAGAAACAAGACACAAAAGAATAACACAATAAGAATAAGATGTACATACATATGACATTTTGTTTTATAAGCAATCAGTGGAATATTACACAGCAATGAAAATGAACCAATTACTGCAACATCTTCAATATGAACTGAACCTCACAAGCATTATGTTGATCAAAAGAAACAAGACACAAAAGAATAACAAAGTTCAAAATATGTACATCAAATGTATGGTGATTATATTCAGAATATTATCACCATAAATTAGAGGTACATATTTTCTTGGGAGTGAGGAGAAGGGAGGTACTCTAAGATTTCTTGATCTGAGATACATATACACCATGGAATATTACTCAGCAAACAAAAAAGATAAACACATGCAGTTTGCAGCAACATGGATGGAGCTAGAAGGGATCATGCTCAGCGAAATAAGCCAGAAAGAAAAAGAAAAATACCGGACAATCTCACTCATAGCAGGAATCTAGAAAACCTAAATAAGAGACCAGGAAAAAGACTAATCAATACAAAGTAAACATCAAAATCAACAAGCAACTATAAACCACACTACGGGGGCAGGGGGAAGGGAGGGGTGGGGAGAGGAAGGACTAGAGTCAAAATAAGGGGGGGGTGCAATTGTATGGGGAATATAACCAAAATGAAAATGCATACATTGTGCAAAGATGAAAAATGATATGAGAATTAAATATTTTTTTTAAAAAGAAAAAAATTTTCTTGATCTGGGTGAAGCTTCCATGGACATATTCACCTTGTGAAAATTTGCTTATGATTTTTGTACTTATAAGTGGAATATATATGAAAAACCTATGCTATTTGCCCTAAAATTATAGAAAATAAATTATTTCTGCAATTTTTGATTAAATGAAAAATGTTAGGAAACAGCATATGTAATCTGATGCCAATTTGATGGAAAACCCATATATAGATATAGATGAAATATAGGTAGATGTAAAAGTAGATATAAATATAGATGATATATATTTAAACATTGTAGAAAGACTGGGAGCATATATATACTAAATTACCTGTGGTTGTTCTTTCTAGGCAACGGATAACTGATAATCCCTTAACGCTTTTCTTTGTAACTTTGTGTGCTTTTCAAGTTTCTAAAATACAAGAATAATGAAGAAATGAAGAATTTGATTCTACAAGGAGATGAGTAAGTCTCATTAAGGGCTAAGTCTCAGCGCTATCACCACTACAGCCTGAGTTCGATCCCCGGCCAGGGAGCTGACCCACATACGGTGCAGCAGACGTCCCCTGTCTTACCCACTGCTCCCCTCAGCAGTGTATTTCAGTAAATCTGCCTGTTCTGCTCCCCACTCTGTCTCTGGTTACCCCCCGCACCGCACCTCTGACCTACACCCCAATTCTTCTACACATACAAAAAAAATTAAAATCGCTTAAAAATAATAAAGTATAAGAGAAAGGAAGTACCTTATGAGATGACATGCCCAGCCAGGAAGTGATAGAAAGACAGGGAGAGGGAGGGGGCACAACCAGATGGGGCAGTGAGATACCAGTCTTGTGTTCTCCCAGCTCCTGCCTGCAGCCCTGCTCCATCCCCAGCAGGACCTGGTGAAATCCTTGTCTCTGGCAAACTTGCGCACATCCATCCAGAGTCAGCAACACCATGAAGCTCCTGGTCCTCCCGTGGCTGATACTCTGCTGCGTGACTATCCTGCCAGTGGCAGGAAACTGGAAAGAAAGAATTGAGTCCATAAATGAATTTCCATTTTACAGTAGGTATTATTCTGGCTGGGTTTCAAAATGAACAGAGGGTGGAAAATGAGAGAACTTTCCCCAGTGCCCCTGCAGAGAGGAACCAGGGCTGGTCCCTAAAAGAGCAGCAGCGCCTCGTTGAAAGCCAGGACAGGAGGAGAGCGGAAGGCTCACTTCTCCAGCTTGAGGGTCTGCCTGTGCTGCCAAGTGTCACAACGCTGTTGTGAGTCGGGGTGACCCTGCTGGCCACACGGCTTTTGTGGAGAACACTTAGACACTCTGCAGGATCTAGAGCCTGTTTGGAGGGAGCTTAGCTTGAGCCTCCAGGCGTTTATGTCCTTATTAGGGATTCCAAGGATGAACACAAAGTTGGAAAGGGCTATGAATTATTTCTTGCTCTGTGCCTTTTGTTTAGGGAACTGTCCATTTTAAAACATTCGCTGTGGGGAGGAGGAAGAAAATGTATGCTTGGTAAAGAGAATTCAGAACTCAGAACGAGAAGGGTAAACAAAAGGGGTGGAGGAGAGAATTGAGAGGGGAGGAAGAGAGGGGAGGGGTAAATAACAAGTGGTAGAAGTTTCTAGGGAGGGGGTTCCCCGCAGCCACTGCAGCATGAGTTCGATATCCCCCCCCCCACACCTCATAGGCCAGGGAAGTGACCCACATGGCGCAGCAGACCTCTCCTGTCTCGCCTGCTGCTCCCCTCCGCAGTAGATTTCAGTAGATCCTCCTGTTCTGTTCCCCACTCTGTCTCTGGTGAATCCTCTCACCACCCCCCCACACCCCTGGCCTGTACCCCAGCTCTTGTACGCAGAAATAAATCTTTAAAAAAAAAGAAGTTTCTAGGGAAGTGCTGGGTTTTGAGGGCCATTTCAACCACGAGTGGAAAGGTGGCGGATTCTTTTCCTGCTTTGGGATTCAGTTCCCCCCACCCTGTAAGACGGGAGAGGGAGACCACAAGAAACTCAGGACTCTGTTTTGAGAATTGCTTGCGTTTCCGGACACAGGTTGTATGTGTTGAAATTCTTTGGGGGTGACTTCATGGTGGCTGGGTTTGTTAAGGGGGTGGGAGCTGGGTTTTAATTCCAAGAACCATAAAGAGCACCCAGCTCCCTGGGCAGGGAAAGGAAAAAGAGCATCCAGTGGGGTGGGTCCCGGGTCCTTGGAGGGGCTGATAACAGTGAGAGACTCTTGGGGGGGGGGGCACTGCTCACTAGTCCTTCTCAGTTTTATTAAAGCCGAATCTGAAGCCCTGCACAAAGGTTCCCACTCAGGAGCAATGCATGTTTGCCTGTGAGCTACACTCGGAATGCCAGAGGGATCAGCACTGCTGCACTGCCTCCTGCGGGAATGTCTGCATGCTTCTCAGAGAAACGGGTAGGACCTCAGAAGGGCCTTTCTCTTGCTATTCTTTTTTTTTTTTTTTTTTTAAGATTTATTTTTGTTTATTTACACAAGCACTGGGTACAGTCAGAAGCACGGGAGGGTGAGAGAATTCACCAGAGCCAGAGCGGGGAGCAGAGCAGGCAGAAGGCCCGAAGCACACTGCTGAGGGGAGCAGCGGGCGGCAGGAGAGGTCTGCGCGCCATGTGGGACCCTCCTCCGGTGGTTGGGGAACAGCCGGGGATCGAACCGGCGCTGCAGAGGCTGTGGGCAGCTTTGCAACCCAGCGCTCAACCGCTGCGCCACCGGGGAGGCCCATCTCTTGCTATTCTGTTCTCAGATTATGGCCTCCCAAATTGTGGGGAACAGACATTAGGAGGCCCTACCTCCCCAGCCCTACTATCCAATCCAACATGGGGACCCGTACCTCTTCATCCAGCTCCAGAACCCCCTTTTCCACTTGATGACCTACCTGTTTTATCTAAACCCCAGAGGGGCTGACATTTATGTCTCTTTGTTCATTGGACTTAAAACATTCTGGAGAAGCCCTGTGTGGGCATCTCCCGAATCACAGAAAACATCCCTGCACCCAGGGCTTGGGAGGCCTATGACACTTGAAGAAGGGTGTTTCTCCAAAGTGAGTGGCAACTGATTACCCACCCTTTCTCTCATTATTCCAGAGAATAAAATCAGAAGCTTGAGTCCAAAGTTGAACCCTTAAACCACCACAGAGAGTTGGAGCATCCCTGGAGGCTGGACAGAGTGGGACCTGGCCTCCTGCAGGACCACCTCTCACCCCGGCTGTGGGGGCCGAGTGGATGTCTCTCCTATCTGCCCACCCTCTTCCCTGAGCTATGATGTGATCAAATAAGCTGTGATAATAACCCAGGAACTTTTTCTTTTTCTAGAGTCCCAGGGTCATTTGCTGCACACCACCCTTTTCCTAAACTCCCAGCCCCTGCCTCCTGGTTTGAACCTCCCTGCCTTCTATTTCTTTGGGGGCTTCACCTACTTAGCTGGGACTCCTGTTCATTGAGTGACACCCTGGGGAAACCTGCTTCTGTGTGGGATGTTCTTAAAGCTATGGAAACACTGTCTCTCTGGGATTTCCATAAATTAGTGCAGCCTCTCTCCCATGGTCTCAGTCTATGATTGTAGTAGGTCCCCACAAAATGCCTCTCCTTTAAACTTATCTGTGGGGGTGCACACTTACCTACAGTGACAGTACCAATAGTTTAGCATTCAAAGGAGATACCATCACCTCCACACCGACCCCCCAAGTTCTCTTCCCAGATGATGCTTTGTTTGTTATCATTATTTATTCAATCATTTGGGATCTACAGGGATATATGCAACTGTAAATACTCCTAGAAAGAATAAGGAAGCTTCAAAGGGTTGTAGAGCACCTACTGTGTGTCCAGGCCTCCAGCAAGGGCCACTCCACATGAGTGGAAACCTCACCAACTCTGTCTCTTGCCATATAGCTCAAGAAAGGGTTAAGTCATATGATCCAACCAAGGAGAAACCAGGATGGCAAAATGGAGACACAGTCAGTGCCTCAAAATGTGGCAGTGGTTTGCGGCATCAGGTTCCTGGGAAGAGATGCTGGCTCCTCCCTTGAGGGAAAGGGTGGAATTGGGGAACCTCAAACTCAATATTATTTTTCCTTTGACAGGATTAAATATAGAATTGGGGAGAGGGAAGAAAGAGAACTTGAAGAAAGCTGAGGACAAGGTTGGAGGATGAATTTGGTATTAAGTTCTGAGACCCCAGCATATTTTAATTTGCCAACTTTTCCTTTTTGTTCTTTGTTATACCCAAAAAGTCCGCAGGGTACAAAGGTTGCTTGTTAAGTTAGCAAAGGAGAACAAACCAGGACAGACAGGTGACTGAATCTACCCACACTCCCTCAGAAGAGGGATACAAAGCCCATTGTCCAAGTGCCTCTGCATTCAAATACCCCTGAAATGCATCTATGCCAAGGTCAGAGATGTGCTTAAATAGGGGATCAAGTGGGGACTAGGGTTCAGGAGAGGCTCTCTGCAGAAAGATGGTGGGTGGAGGACAGGTTCTTAGTGTTCTCCTGGGCTAGCAGGGAGTGACTGCCTTAGGCTAAAAACTAATGAACTGTTTCTTGCTGAGCAATTAGAAAAAATGAAATAAAACCCTGGGGCCACCTGGCAGGTTCCACAGGACACTCATTCAGCCCCAGGGTTACTAAGGAACACATCAAACCTTTGCACTTGGTTGTCTTGCTGAAAAGTCTGGTGTGTACCAAGTAGAAGCTGCAGAAGTGGGAGGTGAGTGGGGTGGGAGTCCCTCAGGGGATCTCATTTTGGTTTTACTGGCAGGCTTGGTCCTAAGTAAACTGGCCAGAAGAATGACTGACCAGCAGATAATTTTAGCATACTTCTCAGTATCTGATAGAACAAGAAGACAAAAAGAAAGAAAAAAAAGAATACCCAGTAAGAATATAGCTTTGAACAATATAAAGAATGACTAATCAACTTGAAATGAATTCAGAATAACTCTGGAATATATATTCTTTTCAAAAACACATGAAACATTAAAAAAAATCTCAAATATATCCATAAATTGAACTGGCCACAATGCAAAATAAGCTAGAAGTAAATATTTATTTATAAATAATATACAATAAATGAGTAAAATAGCTAGAAAAAAATCTCTACATGTTTAAAAATTAAGAACCATGGGTCAAAATGAAATCAAAATAAAAATTAATTTTGAACCTCAAAATGAAAATCTGAGCTATTAAAATATATGGATACAGAATGACATCATCAAAATGGTGATATAGAGGCCCTCGCCTCTGCCTCTCCCCAAACATCAATAATTAGGCAGCTATCCATGAACACAACAGCTCTGGAAGAGCTCTGGAGTCTACTTAGGAAACTTCTACAACCTGTTGGGGGTGGGGAAACTTGAAAGTAACTATAAGAATAGAAGGAAGAACAGTTCCATTGGGCTTCCATCTTCTCAATCCCCAAGCTGCACTTCTCAATGCGAAGAGGGATGTCCCAGCTAGAGAGAGTTTTCCTCACCAGGAAAGGAAGAACAGGGTAAGCAACCAACTTCCTCAACCTTTTGGGGAACTTCACAAAACTTCAGGTTTTGTGTTACCTCAGACTGGTGCTGAGAGCTATAAAGAGAGCTAGAAACAAGGAAGAAAAGCAGGGATGCTGAGTAGCAGCCACAGAGAGGGAGTAATTGTGACCATCAGTGATCTGCTTACGGACAGGCCCACCAGCTTTCACTACTGAGGGAACCAATGGCTAGCATAGCTGCCACAGACACCCTGCAGATTTCATCACATGCTTCCACATTCACTGACACCAGGGCTCTCTGACTAGCTCCCTGATTAATAATTCCTGCCCCTGCTGGCGCCCGGGAGCCAGGCCAGGCCATTGAGCTACACGACTGCAAGATGCCAACCTAAACCACCACAGGTGACCCTCACCAAAGCGTGCATTCTCCAGTCTGCACTCTAGCTCTGCACTGCATGCTCCCAGACTGACACCCATCACCTCTACTGCATTGTGCCCACCTATGGGGAGGAGGGAAGGTTTGCAAGCATGGGAGAGCATGCCAATAGCCAGGGCCCCGCAGAGGATTGTGGGCCTGGGTCAGTCCCTGTTTCCAGCCACTGGAAAACTGAACTCAACAGCACATGCTGAAGATCCCAACAGGACCAAGTGGAATTTATTCTTGACATGCAAGGATGATTCAATATCAAGGATGGCCTCACACATCAATAATTGTGATCCACCAAATTAACAGAAGGTAAAAATCATATGCTCATCTCAACAGTTATAGAAAAGTGACAAAATACAGCATCCTTTCAAGTTAAAAACTCTTGACAAGGGTGTCCTTTCTCACCAATTCTACTCACCATACTACTGAAAGTCCTAGTCTGAATAATCAGAAAATAGAAAGAATAAAAGGTATTCAAATTGAAAAGGAAAATGTAAAAGTGTCTATTTGCAAGTAACACAGTCATGGTTAGAACTAAGAAACATGCGGGCCTCCCCGGTGGCGCAGCGGTTGAGCGCTGGGTTGCGAAGCTGCCCGCAGCCTCTGTGGCGCCAGTTCAATCCCCGGCTGCTCCCCGGCCACCAGAGGAGGATCCCACATGGCGCGCAGACCTCTCCTGCCGCCCGCTGCTCCCCTCCGCAGTGTACTTGGGTCCTTCTGCCTGCTCTGCTCCCCGCTCTGGCTCTGGTGAATTCTCTCACCCTCCCGCGCTTCTGACTGTACCCAGTGCTTGTATAAACAAAACAAACAAACAAATAAAATAAATAAATAAATAAATAAAAAAACATGCCTCTATAAAAAAAATTATAAAAAAAAATAAATAAATGTGATTCTTTAAAAAAAAAAGAACTAAGAAACATGCTTAGTAAAGTTTTAGGATAGAAAATCAACACATAAAAATCAGTTGCATTTCTAGACACTAGCAATGAACTCGCTGAAAAAGAAAATCGCATCATAATTGCAATTTAAACAATAAGTTAGGCTTGATTTAGCAAAGAAGGTGAAAGATCTGTACCTTGACAATGAAAGGATTTTGATACATTGTACACCAGCCAGTGCAATGAAATGAAGTTATAAAATTTGGAAAAGTAGGGGCCTCCCTCGTGGCACAGCGGTTGAGAGCTGGGCTGCGAAGCTGCCCACAACCTGTGCAGCGCTGGTTAGATTCCCGGCAGCCCGTGAGGGTCCCACATGGCGCGCAGACCTCTCCTGCCATGCCCGCTGCTCCCCTCAGCAGTGTACTTCGTCAGTCTGCCTGTTCTGCTCCCCGCTCTGGCTCTGGTGAATCCTCTTACCCTCCCGCGCTTCTGACTGTACCCAGTGCTTGTATAAATAAATAAATCTTAAAAAAAAATTTGGAATAATAGAAATAAAACTGTCATTATTTTCAAACAATATGGTTATGTATATGAGAACTCCAAAAAAAATCCTCTGGGAAGTTAATAGAATCAAGGAAATTTAGCAAAAGTGCTGGTTTCAAAGGCAATAGATAGAAACGTAAATAACACCACTTAAAAACATTGAAAAATACTTAGGACTACATTGAGCAGTTGACACTGCATGGAGGTACTGAGATATTGTAACAGGAGGGTCCCCAGGAAAGGGGGCAGTACCAGGTTTCCTGCCCCACCCAAAAGGAGGGTGGAGCTGAGCAGGGAGAGAAGAAGCTGCAGAGGAGACTGGGGAAGGAAGGAAGCAGGATCGAGCCAGAAGGAGACCTGGAGGAGGCACATGGAGCCGAGAGACACGTGAAGAAACTGCGCTGGCCTTGTGGTCGTGGACTGGGTGACACAGATGTGGGTGAGACCCGTGGGGAGGTGACAATGGCGGTTTTTGCCTTGATTTTGATTTTGCTCTTTTCCTTCCAGACTTGTCTGGTTGTTTCTGATCCTTTTCTGTGGGTCCCCACTGGAGGATGCTTTAGACTTGTGGCAGGCTTTGGGGCCTTGCTCTGGGCCAATCTCATTTGGGTGGACTTTTACCCACAAGGGGACAGGTAACTTTGGGTGCTTGATTTAGAAACTAGATTCTTTTGTCTTTCCTGTACTGTTTCCTAATTGTATTAAAGATCATTTCATTAAAGTCTCATATGTTTTGTGTTGATGTGGCGGATGGCAGAACCTATTTAGAGCAGGCAGGTTTGCGGGGTCTGGGCTGCCCCTCTTCCTGCCTGCAACAATATGACTTAGAGTTTTTTCTGTTTGGATTTCATAGCACATCTTGAATCTGTGGCTTGATGTCTTCAGCTTGGGAAAATTCTCAGCCATTTTTCCTCCATGCTTTACTCTGTTCCTTCACTTGCCTCTTTTTTTACATGGATAAATATTTAGGATTATTGAATGAGCTGTGATTTGCTCCCCACCCCCAAAGTAATGGTAATGATAATTTATTATTTCACAGAGTCTGTGAGCAAAGAATTCAGCAGCTGCTTAGCTAGGTGATTCTGACTTGGGATTTCTCATATGGTTGTGGCTGAGATATTGATGGGGGCTGTGGTCGTCTGAGGACCTGACTGGAGCTGCAGGGGCAGTTTTATTTTAGGACCAGTCTAGGATGGTTCACTGAAAGGCAGGAGGACTTGACTTCCCACCAAGCCTAGGCCTTTGCCCCATGGATCTCACCTTAGGACTTTTTAAGTCTTCCAGTGTGATATCTGCTTGCCTTAGAGCAAGTGATTCAAGGGAGAAAAAGTAAAAAAAAAGAGCGAGACCACGATGTCTCCTGACTCAGAAGTCACAGGCCGTCATTTACAAATCATCTTATTGGTTATACAAGTCAGTGCTACTCTTGGTGGAGAGATTTAGCCAAGGATGTGAATCCTAGGAAGTGGGACATGAGGCAGCCATCTTGGAGGCTACCTCCCTTGACGCTCAGGCTGTTTACACTTTCTAGTCCTGTCCATTTTTCCTCTCACTATTTTGGATTTTGTATTAGACATTTTGGAGAGCCTGAGGCTCTGGTTCTTATTTAAATTCAATAGAGGCTGTTGAGATTTTGTTTTCTAAAGTAATTGAAATGGTTGGGTGCAGGTTGAAAAAAAGTTCAACCTGTCTGTTGTGGGCTGTAGTTCCAGTGTCAGCTGTTTTCCAAGCCTGTGCAGTTCACTTAGTCTTTTCCCTGCAAATGCACCACCTACAGGCTAGCGTGGGAGGTAGCTGTTGGTGCAGCTCAGCACATTTCTCAAAGTATGTCAAATAAGAAGACTCATAAATAGACTTGATGGTTCGTCTCCCTAGCCTCCCCCGCTCTGATTTCCCTAATATCTGCAGTTTTCCCAAGGCTTCAAAAAGCTGAGGGTCTGGTGACCCTGTTCTGCTTGGCACTTCCCCAGGGCCAAGTGGTAGGAGAACAAAGAGAGCAAAAAAGAGCCAATGGGGTCCACCCACCCTCTTGGAAGCAGTGTGCACAGGACAAAGGGAGGGTCCCTGGCCCTTCCAGTTTTGAGGCCTCCTTATCCCAAACCAGCTGCCGCATAAGAATGCCTTCGGGGTACAGGCAGAGGAGAGCAAAGGAGAGAAAGAAGGTAAACAGAGCCACATCAGGGACCTCTCCCTCCCTTCCCACCCTCACAGATTCCCCTTCCCGTGCATCCAGCCCCGGCTCGAGGGTTTCTCCTGCAGTTCTGTCTGCACCCTAGAGCTTATTTGTAGGCGGGCCAGGAGATACCAGAGGAGGAGAATCCCAGTGATGTCCTCACCGGGGAGGACCTTCTTTCTCGTTCTGCCTACAGCTTCCTGCTGTCCAGATTTTTCCCTCTGTCCTCAGTGGAAGGGCCCAGCAGCCAAGACCGGGGGGTCGTTCTCCATCTCTGTGGTAGGTTCCGTCCCTCCTGCTGGGCCTCCAGTGCCAAGTGTGTGTTACTCTAAGTCCCAGCCAGGCTGAGTTTGTGGTTTGGAGTTGCTGCGGTTACCTGGAAGGCTCCACAGACCTCACATTCCTCCTTCAGGACACAAATACCTGTGTTTGGGGTGGAGCTGTGTCTCCCAGAGGGTTTCCCAAGATGATGGCTGCACTCTCAGCTTTGCTGTGCCTCTGAGAATGACTGTCTCTCACCAGTCACTTGTTACTGAGACTTCTAGCTTCACTGTGTGTGTGTGTGTGTGTGTGTGTGTGTGTGTGTGCGCGTGTAGGGAGTGGGGGTGCTGGGATCCATTCTCTGTTGTTCTGATTAAACCTCAGTCTTTGGCAGACACCCTGTCCCTGGGCCTCAGGGATATCTAGTAGTTAGTAGCCCACCCTTCCCCTCCCTCCCCCAGCACAGAGCTTTGAACCTGGCCCTCCTCCAGGGGCAATGAGATTTCCCCTGTGCCCAAAGGGCAAAGTGTTGCTTGTTTCTCTCTCTCTCCACATTAAAACTTTCATGCAGTAGGAAAAACAGGATGGTTTCCAGGTGGAATTATTTTACCCTTTCCATGGTGGCTGCTATCTTCTCCCTTCCCCAGTTCTGCATCACAAAGAAGATTTTTCCAGCTCTCTAAAAGTCTTCTTTGGGAAAAAAAAGTCTTCTTTGAGAATGCCCAGTGCGATTCCTGAGGGGAAAAGTCTCCCAGAGGCTGGGGCTACCCACAAGCAGCCGGGGGCTTTGTTCCATTTGCCAGTGCACACCCGGTCTCCAGCAGTGTCAGCCTTCTGAGCTGAACCCTCTTCCTGGGTCTGGTGCTTGGCTCCCAGGTAACCAGTGCTCCTGTCTTCTCTCTCCCTGCAGGTGTCTGCTTGTGCCCAGATGCTGGCTGGTTGCCGGTGATCTCAGTATTCCGGTGAGTTCAAGGAGTCATCCAGTTTTCTCCAGTGTAGCACTGGAAGGTTTAATCAGCTCTCTATGTCTATGAGCAGAATCCAACAGTTCCTTTCCCATTAAAAATTTTAATTGTAGTAAAATACGCATCACATGAAGTTGAACATCCCAACTGTTCCTAACATGGGTCAGTGCCATTCCCTGGAGACCACGTCGCCCGGCAGCTCCGGAAGATTTTTCATCTTGCAAAACTGGAACTCTGTACCCATGCATGAACAAGCCCCCCATCTCCCTCTTCCTTGGCTGGAAACCACCCTTTTACTTTCTGTCTCTATGCAGCTCACGACTCAAGGTATCTCGTAGGCACAGAATTATACAGAACTTGGGTTTAGGAACCGATTTGTCTCCTGTAGCTTAGTGCCTCCAGATTACACACATTCTAGTATATGTTAGTTTTCTTCCTTTTCCAGATTATGTAACGGTCCACGGTACATATATTCCACATATTCTCTTTCCATTCAGTAGAGTGGATAGAAAGACTCCTCCAGGAATTCATAGCTACTAGCCAGCTTTTTTACATGGCAGTGCCACAGGTGTAGTCTGAGAAATCTGAAGCTGAACTTAATTCAAAATATCCTGGGTGGTTAGGGAAATAGGAAGAACAGACTGATTTGGAAAACTAGATGCCTTTGGACACAGAATTCCAAGAAATTCTGCAGATAAAATGATGTTAAAGATAAGCTACATAAGAACTAGATAAGGACTCACGAAAAGTAAATTCACACGCAGTCTAAGAAAACAAGATGAAAAAAAATCAAGAGGAACAACAGAGATTCATGGAGACTTCAGATACTGGAATTATTGTTTGCAGAGGACAAAGTGCCTGGGAAATAAAAGGAAAGGGATAGGGGATGGCGATGATAGCATGACTAAGAGAATATAAAAATTCTTTCAGAGGATATTGAAAAATGCCAATAGGATAACTAGAATAAAATATATCACTGAGGTTAAAAACAAAGAAATCATTTGATTAATCTAGAATTTCTCAAGATAGCGACAAAAGCCTAAAGACAGTAAAAAATAGTTTTTCAAAATGTTGCCAGAAAGTAACTATTAATCTAGCTCTGAATACCCAGTAAGGCCTTTATATTTAAACAATTCCATCTTTATTGAGTTTTGATTGATAAGGAGTTTATATTTTAGGTGTGCATTGTAATGTTTTGATATAGGTATATTTTGTGAAATGATTACCACAATCAAGCTTATTAACATACCCCTCCCCTCACACTTACTTTTCTTTAAGGTTTATTTATTTTCATACAAGAGCTGGGGCACAGGCCAGAGGTGTGGGAGGGTGAGAGGATTCACTAGAGACAGAGCGGGGAATAGAACAGGCAGATGACAGAAATACACTGCTGAGGGGAGCAGTGGATGTGACAGGAGAGGTCTGCTGTGCCATGTGGGATTCTCACCGGCAGGCCGGGATCGAACCCGTGCTGTCAAGGCTGTGGACAGCTTCACAGCATAGTGCCTAACTCGCTGCACACAGGGGAGGCCCTTCACATCTCTTTGTGCATGTGTGTGTGTTGGGGGGCGGTGAGGATACTTAAGATCTTTTCTCTTAGAAATTTTCAAGTATAAAATACAATTCATCACTACAATGCATATGGATCCTGAGAACTTATTTATTTTATAATTGAAGGCTGTTGCCCTCTGGCTAGTGTCTCCCAACTGTCCTTAACTCCCCAGTCCCCATTCTATTGTCTGTCACCAGGTATCACCAACGAAATTGAGCTCTTCTACCTGGTCCATACAACACTTGCACTCTGGTAATCACCGGTCTGTTGTCAGAGTCTAAGGCTTTGTTTTTGTTGTGTTTGTTCATTTGCTTTGTTTCTTTATATGCCACAAATGAATGAAACCATATGGCATTTGTCTTTTTCCCTCTGATTTATTTCACTTAGCATAAGCCCCTCAAGTCCACCCATATTGCAAATGGCAAGATTTCCTTTTATTTTCTTAGCTGAGTAGTATTCCATTGTGTGTATGGACCACATCTTCTTTAGCCAATCCTCCACTGATGGACACTTAGGTTATTCCCATATCTTGTATAAAATCACTATTGTGAATAGTGCTGTAATGAACGTGAGGATGCACACATCTTTTTGATTTATTGTTTCCATAATCTTAGGATAAATACTCAGAAGTGGAATTGCTGGATCATATGGTAGCTCTATTGTTAGGTTTTTGAGGAACCTCCATGCTGTTTTCCATAGTGGTTGCACCAATTGACATTCTCACCAACAGTGTTTGAGTAGGAGTAATTTAGAAGATCATGTCTTTGGAGGGTGAGCTTGGAGCAAGGTGTATTACAGAGACTATGGAGCTAATTATCTTGCTCTAGGTGTCTTGCCCAGTGACTGAGGGTAGAGGCACATTCTTGGTTGAATGGCTATGCAACAGATTATACCATGCCACTAGGATGGGGAAGAATTGAGCAAGGAGCTCTCAGCCATGGAAATAGGGCTTGAGGCTCAGTGTGCTCCCATTAGGCAGCTTAAGGGGGGAGTAGGATGTAGTGGAGTTATTTTGGAATTTGCCAGTAGTTCTCAATGATTGTAACCTGGAAATATGCACTGTTTCCCCAGTTCCTGGACATCCATAGATTTTTTGATTGCAAAATGCTTCTCAGTTTACAGCCACGAGCAACCTCGGCCACTTGGAGAAGCTGGGAAAAGAGGTAGGTTCAACTATGGGGTTTTGGGGAGACTCCTGACCACCCAGACTGAGGAACCAAGGAGTCCTCTGTCTTAGGGAAAGTTGGGAAACAGGAAAAAAAAAAAGTCCCCACCATCATGCTAAATGATTGAGATTCTTAGAGTCCTAGAAATGTAAACTAATTACTTAAATCTCTTAAGGTATTTGCAGTCTTACCGATATATATCTATTAGAATGACTAAGATAAAAACATTTACAATAGTAAGTGCTAGCAAGTATGTGGAGCAAGTGGAACTCTCCTAGACACTACTGGAAATGCAGAATAGTACACCCACTTTGGGAAACAGTTTGGCAGTTTCTTATAAACATATACTTATAAAACGCAGCAATTCTACTTCCTGTTATTTACCTAAGGAAGTGATAACTTATGTTCACACATGAACTTTCATATAGATATTTATAAGGAGGTTGTTTATAATTGCCCCAAACTGGAAACAACCCAAAGGTCCATTCCCCAGTGAATGGATAAACAATCTGAGCGAGTGGGGAAGATCATCTATTAATGTGGTTGTCTGGAGGTTTCATAAATTCCTAGTCTGGGACAACATCAGAAGGAATAAGAAGGATCCCTTTGTTAACACAAGGTCATCTGGGATTCTTTTTATTTCTGGGACAATAAGACCCCATGGCATATGCCAGACCCTCCTGAAAATCTCTAACCATCCATTTCTTTCAATCGATGGAGCGAGGAGAATGTACTTACTAGTATACATGGAGTTGCCTTAGCAGTTGCTGTGGGCAAACCAGCCTTGCAACTGTTCCAGACAAATCCCTATGATCACTGACCTGTGACTGCTCACCCAGGAGCAGAACACTGGGCAAGTGTTTGTGTAAGACAACGTCCAACACCATGGCAGAGTGTAGGGCCCCTGGGAGGGTATGGGGTTGGAAGGTCCTGCCCTTCACCATGTGGCTTCAGATAACCCCTTCCCCCTGATGTCTCTGTTTTGTCATCTGGCTACAGGGATTGGTGGATCAGCTAAGATTCATCTACCTGTTTTTTTGTGTCTCTCTGGCTTGTGCCTAAACTCTTTCCCCTCTTTTCATCCCATATAGGCACCTTCCTCTCCACAGCTCCAGCTTTCCCTGGAAGAATGTAGCTCTCCTGCTGATGCTTTCCCTCTCTTTGGAACAGACATCTGCAGTGCTACTCCACAAAGTCAAAAGTGGGTTCAGCTTTTCCTTATAGGACATTCTTGGGAACTGAGGGTTAGACACGAGGTAAAGACTTGAGTTGGGTGAGGCCACTTCTATTGTAGGTAGCTTCAGTAGAACTAGCCCTACTCATCTATTCAGGGTCCTTCAAATTCTTCCCTCACCTGCTCCCTGAAAATTATTTCCCTAATTTTTGCTGTTTATGCATCTTTTCCAAGTTTACTTTAAAAAATGAATCAGTGAGGGCCTCCCCTGGTGGCGCAGCGGTTGAGCGCTGGGCTGCGAAGCTGTCCACAGCCTCTGCAGCGCCGGTTCGATCCCTGGCTGCTCCCCGGCCACCAGAGGAGGGTCCCACATGGCGCGCAGACCTCTCCTGCTGCCCGCTGCTCCCCTCAGCAGTGTATTTCGGTCCATCTGCCTGTTCTGTTCCCCACTCTGGCTCTGGTGAATTCTCTCACTCTTCAACGCTTCTGACTGTACCCAGTGCTTGTATAAATAAATAAATAAATAAATCTTAAAAAAAAAAAAAAAAAAAGAATCAGTGAGAGCAGAGGAACAGTGAGGAGATTATTGTAATGGTTATGAGAGAGTTGGGAGCATGTCAGGTGCTGATCCAAGGAAGTGTGTAGTAAAGAGGGATAAGAGGTGGGGTTTGAGGAGAGATTTAGGAGCTAGGACTGAGCCAAATCTATGTCTCATAGGATACTTGGGTGCTAATGAGGGAGGAGTCAATATCAAGATTCTGATAACAGACTAGGGACGGCGGATGGAAAATATCAAGATGGGAACAGAAAGAAGGTATTGGATAGGGCCAGGGAGAGGTTAGTTCAGTTTTAAACATGTTGAGACAGAAGTGCTGAAGAGATGCTCAAATGGTGTTTTCCCCTATGGTTGGATGTCGTTAGCTTGGAAGAGAGGGAAGGTCTGGGTCACGGGGATGGAGTGAACAGCTGGGGAGTGTGTGCTGAATAACAGGGAAAGGCTGAGACCAGAACTCTGGGGAGCGTCCCAGTAACTGCAGAGGAGCCCTTGGGGTGTCCGTATCAGGGGGGAGACTGAAAAGTGCTGACAGGAAGGGAGGAGAATTCTAAGTCAGAGTTCAAACTGACAGTGAGGAGAGGCGTTACAATGACTGATGCCCAAAGGTTGAAAGGGCCCTGGAGGCAGGAGGAAAGTAGAACTGAATTGAGTCAACACAAGTGAGAAGGGAAGTTTGTCTTCAAATCCTAAAGAGTCTGTTTCTTTATCACTTTAGAGTTACCCCTGCTTGATTTTCTTAACTTTCTCTGTGCCCAAACCTAGACCAGTGGATCCCAAATAGCAGCCTGACATGCTACAGGATTATGTGAAGCATATAAAAGATTTGGATTTCTACACATCACTTTCTAGAGATTTTGATTCAATCCATGGTCTATAATTTTAAGATGATGCACAGAAGAATTTGCTGTTCGCTGCAGGTTAGGAACCATATACTAAGGGTAGTATGAAGGGTAAGAAATATAGTTGGAAAGTACCAATAGTCAGTGGTGTCTGTTGCCTCCATATTCATTTTTCTGTTGCTTTATAATAACCCCTTTAGAATTTCTTTCCGTTTGAAAGAAATTGTTAATAGCTTTTTCTTTTCAGCAAAATGCCTTGCTCTTTCTTCTTGCTGGGTAAAGGATTCTGGGTTGGAAGTCTCTTCTTTAAGTACTTTAAATATCTCCTTCCAGTTCCTTTGTGCTTGATATGCTTCTACTGAAAAGTCCACTGACAGTCTGATTGGTGTTTCCTTATAAGTTACTCTTTTTCCCTGGATGATTTTTAATATTCTGCCCTGGTCACTGGTTCTCAGTTTTATTATTAAATGCTTGGCATGTGTCAGTGTGATATTTTTTGTTTGGGAATCTTTGGGTATCTTGGATCACAACGTCTTGTTTGTTTTCCAGATGGATGTGATTTCCAGTGATCATTTCTTTAAATACTTTATATGACTTTCTTTTTCTTGTCTCCTTCTGGGACCCCCATACTACTGATGTTATTTCTCTTTAAGTTGTCCCTGAAGGTTCTTACACTATGTTCATTTCTTTAATTAATTCCCTTCCCCCTGCTACATTGTTTTATTTGGGCACAAATTCCTGATTCAGCTATACCTAAATAGGGTGAGAGTGGTGAGAGGCAGACCCAGCTCCTAGATAAAAGTTGAGCAAGAACTGAGGACAGAAGGTGGCGTATAGAGTCAAAAGGATTTTACTACATACCTTTGCCATGGGAGGAATTTTAGATTTTTAGCTAAAACTCTAAAGGGATGTGCATTTGAATATTTCTTGCAGAGAAAGTAGGAACATGCCCTCAAGAAAGGCTCATCTGTAGGACTAAAGTTCCAGATGTGTGTAGAATAGATTTGGATTGCCATGATTACCTGAAGTGCTGCTCTTTCAATTGTGGGAGGAGGTGCCTGGATCCGTTCCAAGGTAAGGGCATCCAGGCTGAGGGCCTGGGTGAGGGCAGAGGTGACTTTTGAAGCATTTTACTTGTGCCCAGAACTGACTGAACAGTTCCCTTGGATGGCAGACAATGAGGACAGGGATTGTGTTTTTCTCTTCTAATTACACACCCAACTTTCATTACAACCAATGAGTCTAGTCATGGTAGAGGGCATTGTGTAACAGTGTTAGTCTTCTCTGATCCAACATTCACTCTTTCACAAATAACTAATACCATGTATCAAGAGACATTGTTGGCACTGTGGCAAATATAAATCTTAGTTAACCTAGAAACTGGAGTGGTTTTGGGACCTTTGACCTTCAAGAAGACTTCTGGTAGCTCAAAGTCTTGAGCATCAAATATGTATAGGAAAATATCTGTTTCCTATAGATTCATTCATTCATTTCACAAAGACCATCGAGAATACACCTGGAATTGAATAAGTTGGGTCTATTACTTATTTCAGTGAGGGATAACATTTACCATAGATAGCCTGAGACACCTCAGTAAGAAACTTAGAAAGAATTTATTAGAGGATCAAGGCTTTGATTGGGTGATTTGGGGGCGGCACTAAGGAAGTGGGGATTACTGTAGATTGGGTGCTGTCAGAAAGTAGGAATAATTCTATGGTTGAGTATTTCAGTGAAACTTATTTAGAGAGAACAGATTAGACTGAGGATAAGGCTGTAATTAGTAGAGGAGGCTAAGTTATTCTTAGGTGTTTGGTATTTTTCTGTATTTCACAGTGAATTTTTGGGGGTGATCTTGTTTAATGTAGATTTAATGTAAATCTTGTTTATGTCCAATGGGGGAACAACATGGCTTAACTGTGAGCTCAGATCAGTTTCCAGAAATGAGGAGCTTTTTTTCCCCTTGATATTTCATTCTTTCTGTGTGTCAGGTCCTTTGGCAGACACTTTGGGTACAGGTACTGAAGAAGTGTTTCTCTCCCAAAGTTAGAGCTGTGCAGAAGAGAGATCAGCTCCAAAGCATCTCATATACTCTCCACTATATTCTTTGCAAGGTAGAAATGATGCCCAGCAGTGTTATACAACAGAGTATTCACAGTAGAGCTAGGACTAGAACTTTTATTGGGTATGGCTCTTTTTATTTTGGGTTGCCTTTACCACAAACTATACAAACACTGAGGGCCTGACCCCTCCCCTTTTTCATTACCTTTTAAGTTCTTCCTTCTTTGCTTCCTGCCCTCAGAACCCTGTATGCTACCCAAAGACTCAGGAAAGTGTAAGAGTAATCAATTGCGCTGGCATTTTGATATGGAAAAACGGTTATGCCAATCCTTTACATATCAAGGCTGCCATGGGAATGCCAACAACTTCTTCACTTTGGAAGACTGTGAGAAGGCTTGCCTGTTAACTGGTAAGACCCATATTCTTGGCAACCTAGTGTAGTCTAACTTGTAACAGTATTCCAGCACAGTTACAGGCTCAGACTTCCAGATTAAGCTATCTTGGTTCGGACCTCCACAGTGGTGCAGGGGTTAAAGTCTCAGTGCTATGAAGCTATCACCAGCCACTGAGGCATGAGTTCAATCCCCAGCCAGGGAGCTACCCACATGGCACAGCAAACCTCTCCTGTCTCGCCTGCTGGGCCCCTCAGCAGTGTATTTCGGTAGGTCTGCCTGTTCTGCTCCCCACTCTGTCTCTGGTGAATGCTTGTACCCGCACCCCCCCCCACACTTCTCGCCTACAGCCCAGTACTTGTACGTATAAATAAATCTTTTTTTTTTTTTTAAAGCTACCTTGGTTCACTTCTTAGCTCTGTCTAGCACTGGCTAGATGGTCTTAGGTCCATTACCTGCCTTTTATGAGGTTTAGTTTTCTAAACCTCAAAAATGGGGGTAATAGTGGTATTTACCTAATGGGGATGTTGTGTCAAAAAATGGGGCAGTGCACATAACTTGTTTATAAACTTCAGTTAATGGGAACTGGGGGCCCTTGGAAGTAGGTATTTCCTCCTCACATTGACCTGAGAACTCACCCAAGAGTGAAGCGGACAGTCAGCCTTGGGGTCCCATGGAGGCAGAGTATGGAATGGGTGAAGAGTAGGGTATCTGTGACGGTGAAGGCAGTGAATTCATTCCTTAGGATAATGACCATCAGCAATAATGCTGGGGGTTAGTATTTTATCGCATTTAGGAGCCAAATGACCTGGATTAAAATTCTACTTTTCCCACTTGCTGAAAATTTATATACTTCTTTGAGTTCCCAGTAATACTGGAATGATAGCAACTACACTGTTGAGATGTTGTTAGGCTTATACGTGACCAAGGACACGGTGAGTTGACATGATGGCTATCCAGTGGTGTGGCATCACTAAAGTTAATTGAGATGGTGACCACTGTCCTTCAAGATGCAGCACTGTGTGATTACAAGGCAACATTTAGAATTTTGACTTCAGGTTTTGAGAGGCAGGCTTAAAAATATACCACCACCACTGTTTTATAGACAGTGAAACAAGGTTAGAGAAGCAAAATGAGTCATGCAAGAATACTCAATGGATCAAGAGTAGAACTGGGACTTTAATTCCATGGCCCCAGTGAGCCTGAATGGCCAAGGCAATCCTGTAACCTGACCTGATGACACTAGGACCACAAGTTTCCCTTTCTGGAAGGCTGTAAGGAATCATAATGCCATGAACAAGACCTTGGCCTGCGGGAGCCAGCAGGGAAAAGAAGCTGGGGAGGTGGACTTGGGCTGGTTTGTGGGAAATTTAGTTCTGGAGCTTAGAGAGAACATGGCAATAGCCTTGAGAGCAAACACACCCCCGTCTGTCTGAGGAAGGAGGAGGAAGAAGAAGTAAAAAGCCATTTTCTGCCCTCTTAGAATTTGCGATCAGTTGAGGACACAGAAGACATACACAAAATCCCAAAGAATTGATTTAAATATCATCTGTGTCCTAGGGGTCCACAGAGTTGTATCTCCAGCTGGAATAAGACTTCTAAACTTTAACTGCCTTCTCTGCACTTCCACCTAGACCTTGTCTAAAACATCTCACAACGAACTTGTCTAAAACTGAAGCCTTTAACCTTTCAAATTAAGAACCCCTTGACCCAACCAGCTCTATCCATACTTCTCTCCAAGTTGTTTGGAGAAAACTTCTAAATCACCCTTAGTACCTCTCTTTCTCAGTCAGCATCCATTAAGTTGGAAAACTAATTAGTTTCACCATGAAAAAAGATCTTGCATCTGACTACTTCTTACCACTTCCACAAGCTACCACCCTGAACTCAGGTGCAAGTTCTCACCTGGCTCACTCTAGCAGTTTACTAAGACCCTCCCTCCCCGCTTCTGCCTTTCCTTCCTTCCAGTCCATTATCAACATGGTAACCGCAATTATCTTTTCAAAGTGTGTCAGATCATGCCAGTCACTCAAAGTAAAACCAAATGCCCTACAATGACTTACACTGATTTGTGCAGATTTCACGTAACTGCTCTTGTGTTATCGAGAAGGAAACTGAAGTCATTCATGAAGTGGCAGGACTGAGCTCTACCTTGGTGTTTCAAACACCAAGCCTGACCCTTTCTTTGCTACATCCTGCCTTATGGCAAGGCATTTCATTCCTCCCAGACTACTAGAGGTGGACAGGGTAGTGTGAACTAAGTCATAAGAAAGAGATACTGTATGAAGGGTGGTAGGTTGGTGCGGGCTTGGAAGGAACTCACATCTGCTCTTGTTTTAGTCAAGGAAGGACAATGCCCACACTTTCCTCTGAGGGATCACCTGGCCTGTACATCTTCTTGTAAGAGTGACATCGAGTGCCCCAATGCCGAAAAGTGTTGTGAATCCATGTGTGGCTTTATTTGTTCCGAGTCCTGGACGGGTGAGCACTGGGCTCTGTCTCTCAAGGTCTACTGAGCCTCTGTTAAGGATGCTATGCTGGGGACTTCCCTGGTGACTCAAGGGTTAAGTCTCAGTGCTATCAAGCTATCACCAGCCTCTGCAACATGAGTTCAATCCCCGGCCAGGTTGCTGACCCACATGGCACAGCAGACCTCTCCTGTCTGTCCCACTGCTCTCCTCAGCAGTGTATTTCAGTAGATCCACTGTTCTGCTTCCCACTCTGTCTCTGGTGAGTCCTCTCACCCCCTGCACCTCTGGCCTACACCTCAGTTCTTACATGCATAAGTAAATAAAACTTAAAAAAAAAAGGATGCGATGCTGCCACATGGAATAGGGACTGTCCCTGAGCTTGGTATTAGAGATCCTTTCCTTTTTTATTTTTATTTGGTTTTTTAAAAGATTTATTTATGCCTATAAGAACAAGGGTACAGGCCAGAGGTGCGGGGGGTGAGAGGATTCACCAGAGACAGTGGGGAACAGAACAGGCAGACTGACTGAAGTACACTGCTGAAGGGAGTAGCGGGTGACATGGGAGAGGTCTGCTGCACCATGTGGGTAGCTCCCTGGCCAGGGATCAAACTCATGCTGCAGTGGCTGCAGACAGCTTCATAGGCTGTGTCTTAACCCCTCGTGCCACCAGGGAGGCCCGATCCTTTCCTTTTTTAATACCCTGTCAGTCAGTGTTGTCATGTTGCCCTCCTGTCTTGGCAGACCTTTGTGCTGATCTTCAAATCCAATCATGCGAGGTATTACTCCCCATTTTCACCATGGAAACATATTCTGAGTCCCCTTCTTCAGTGCCTACATGAAGACAATATCCACTAATTCCTACACAAAAATTCATAACTGATTTTTATCTTCCTAACAATTCTTCATGTTTACAAAGGACTTTAGAGCATGTATAACATATTCACATCCTGCAAAATGTACTGGTGAAAAAATTGGTAGTAAAATGCTTTCAGGGTGGAAATCAACTCTCCAATGTCTAAAGCTTGTGCTTATCCCCTGGTATACTGCTGAGGTAGCATAGTCTTATCCAGGGTATTGACAGTGTTTTTGGGGGTACTTCATGTGAAGGTGGAAAGAGTCAAAAGTTTTTCTACTGGTTTTCTGTGTGGCTATAGGTAACTCACAGCCCCCAAAGAGCTTGTGATTTCTATCACTTACAAAACAAGGTAGTTCTGGGTGCTGTCTAGTATTCTTGCTACTCTGGTATTCTGGAATTAGGGAACCCCAATTAATTCTATAGGGGCAAGAAGATTTATATATCAGATTTTATAAGTCAGAGATGACAAAACTGCTAGATGCTTCTCAAATTATAAATTATAGGATATTAATACCCTGGCTCCTCCACTCTGTTGTTATTCTGAGGGGAGCAGTGGCGGGGCAAGGGTGAGAGGCTGTGCCAGAAGAAAACCCTACCAAGGATTACATTCTCCAAATTTTCTCCAACTATGATCAAGATCAAATGTACTATTTTATCCCATGTAGTGAAAGACGGTGAATGCCCACCAATGCCCACGGACTGTTTAAAGATTAATAGACCCACATGTCTGAAGGATAGTGATTGTCCACTGACAGAGAAGTGCTGCTCACGCTGTGGGCTGATATGCCTGAACCCAAATGAGGAACAGTAAGTAGAAAATATTACCATCCTATTAATGATGAGTAGCCTAATAAAAAGCTGAGTCTTGTCTTATATCCAAATTCCTTTCCAAGCTGCTTTGTTAAGTGTAACAATATTTAATGGGGTTACTCTGATTTCATACTAGTCACATTATCTGAAAATGATAAGTTTCTTTTTTTCAACTTTGTGACTTAGCGTTTTTTTCTTGTCTTCTTATAGTATTAGAACTTTCAGTGTTGAAGGTAAAGTCAGTGATATTTATTCTCATCTAGTTCTTTATTATAAAGTCAATGTGTCTCTGCTACGTAAAATGACATTTGTTGTTGGGTTTGGGATAAAAAGATCTTATCCCACTTGGGTTGCTTCCTTTTTAATCATGGACATCTGCTCTTGGCAATTATTGCTAAATTTTTATTACCAAATGTATTTGGGGGGAGTATTCTGTTCACATTTTACTTGCATTTATCTTTCTATTATACATAGCCATTAACTCAAGCATATACTATCCCTCCACCCAGATTCTTGCAATGTTAACTTTCTCATTATAAATTTGATATTGGGGCCTCCCCGGTGGCGCAGCGGTTGAGCGCTGGGCTGCGAAGCTGCCGGCAGCCTCTGCAGCACCGGTTCAATCCCTGGCTGCCGGCGAGCGTCCCACATGGCGTGCAGACCTCTCCTGCTACACCCGCTGCTCCCCTCAACAGTGTACTTCCTCAGTCTGCCTGTTCTGCTCCCCGCTCTGGCTCTGGTGAATTCTCTCACCCTCCTGCACTTCTGACTATACCTAGTGCTTGTGTAAATAAAAAAAATAAATTTTTAAAAAATAAATAAATAAAGTTGACATAGTAAACCATTAAATAGAATCTAGGTGGTATAACATTTCCCTACTGCCATCTAGGAATCCTGGACATAGTTATGGGATCTACTACCCAGAAAATGACTACCTGGAAAGTATATGAAGCTGGAAGTGAAAAGCACATTGGTTATTGGTGATTCTCAAGTGGTTCGAGGCTTTTTCTAACTGATCCGAGGAGGCTCTCCTGAAATAGAGTGAATTTTATCTTCAAATATCTTTTAAGCACCTAGTCATATAATGGTTTCTCTCTTCTGGTATGTTGGTATAATAACTCTTATTATTAAACATTCAAAGGTTGAATCTTGCATTCCTGGAATGACCTTCATTTTATGGAGGGTGTACTTGTACTATTACGTTATTGACTCTTTTAGAAAATAGTTTATTTAGAATTTTCACATCTGTAGTCAAAAGAAAACTAAGTCTGTGATTTTTGTTTTGCTATTTGAGTCACACTAATCTCAAAAAATCTAGCTTGGGAAGCTTACCTATTTTTTCCAATGATCTAATATTTTAAAATAATATATCAGGTTGGGTCTCCCTGGTGGCACAAGGGGTTTAAGACACAACCTATGAAGCTGTCCGCAGCCACTGTAGCTCGAGTTCAATCCCCGGTCAGGGAACTACCCACATGGCGCAGCAGACCTCTCCTGACTCGCCGCTGTTCCCCTCAGCAGTGTATTTCAGTTGATCTGCCTGTTCTGTTCCCCACTCTGTCTCTGGTGAATCCTCTCACCCCTCACACCTCTGGCTTCTACCCCAGTTCTTGTATGCATAAATAAATAAATCTTCGGGAGCTACCCACATGGTTCAGCAGACCTCTCCTGACTCACCCACTGCTCCCCTCAGCAGCGTACTTTGGTCAATCTGCCTGATCTGCTCCCCACTCTGTCTCTGGTGTATCCTCTCACCCCCCAACACCTCTGGCCTGTACCCCAATTCTTGTATACATAAATAAAAATATCTTAAAAAAAATAAATATCAGCTCTGTGTTCTTTGAAGCCTACACAAAATTCAACAATGTCTGGACAAGAAGAAGTATTCCTACTTAACTGTAGAAAGAGATGTGTAGACCTTGACCAATATAATATTCAGATTCTCGGAATGACCAGATCCTCCACCATGTCATCATTCTCTGCTCACCTGGGCTGGCACTGTCCCGGGTTCATGAAGGGCTGGTCTCTGGGCAAGATGGCTGGACTGTGGGGAAAGGGGCCTTGGTATCTGAAACACTCCCCTTGGCTTTCCCTGTCTCGACTTGCCTTAACTTGTGATCTATATTCTCCTCGCTTGGCACAGTCAGGAGGGCAGAACGGTGGTCTGTGATTTGTGATCTTCAAGGCACTTTTATCCACATGGGATATATTTTCTGAGTGTTATTTTCTGCCAGGCAGGGCACTAGGCACTGACTTCAGATGCAGCTGGGAAACTCCTGATCGGGGGGGCTGAGCGGAGGGCACAGCCCTGGGTGACAAGCAGAGTAGGAGAAAGCCCCTTCCAAGCTTGGGCCCCTCTCCCTGGTTGACCAGAGAGCCAGAGGTCCTCAGAGAGCCGGGGACAGGAGATGCCTATCAAGAGTCCCAGCCCCCAGGGTTGGCGCTAGAGGTGCCAGCTAGTCCCCATCACCTCACCCTCCCAACCCCCCACTGACCTCCAGGACTCGGTGTTCCCCTGAGGGGGTGGGGCTGGCTTCTCTCCACACTGTGGGCACTGAGGCCGCCAGGGTGAGACGCTGTGCCAGAGCAGCCAGGGCCAGAAGTGCTGAGCAGCTCTTCCCACTGCGGTGCCGCCAGCTGGACCTTCTTAAAATGGAGCTCTCGGGGCTTCTGCCAGTGCTGGTACTGTTCATCCTTCTTGTGGGTGTCCGGGAAACTGGGCTGGTTGAGGGATCCCTTCGGGGTAAGTATTGGGGCCTCAGTTCTCAGTCCAGTGGAGATATGGAACTGTCCTGGGGGGATGAAACAAAGAAGTCTACGGATGAATAATGCTTTCCCCACCTCAGCTTGGGGCCCCAGGGGGGGGTGGGGGGGGGGACATATGAAGTCTTTCTTTTGACCGCCTGTCACATGGTAAGCTGCCCCCAGGGAATGCAGGAACCTAATCTGTGTGAATGATTCCCACTGTCATCATGAGGAACTTTTCTTCCTGGAGACCAGGAAGGGAGGAGAGGAGCTGGGAAGCATCAGGGCCTTCCCTGAGGGAAGGGGCCACTGTCCCAACATCACCTCTATCAGCTTCCAGCTTCTCCCCAGAAGTCTCCCCGTGCCCACACCCACTCCCACAGGGGTTCCTTGCCTATGGGGGTAAAGAATGGTTTCTGAAGCCCCCATACACTGCAGGTACAAGTCCTGCCTCTACTCCTTAGTCTTCCTGTGACCTTGGGCGGGTTCACATAACCTCATTGGGCTTCAGATTCCTGTTCATAAAATGTGAACATTGATAGAACTTGCTCCTAGAGTTGAAATGAGGCTAAAGGTTCACTGTAAGAGCTTCATTAATATCAGTCACTATTATTATGCCCACCCTTACCACCACGCCCAGCTTTGTCACATTAAGCCTCTAAACAACCCTTTAGGCCAGTGAGGGAGGACCTCATGAAGGTTCAGAGACGGTGCCTGCTGGCCTCAGGCTCGCACAGAATTAAAAGGTCCAGTCATTTACCTCCAGAGATGGAGATTTCGATCTGAGAGGCCAAGAGGGGCAACAACCGCCCTCCCCATCCCCGAGAATGTCTAAACCCCACAGCCTGAGCACTTAGCACAGCCCTCGACTCCTTCCCCTGAAACCTTGTGGGGAAGGAGGTTTAGGATGAGATGTTATGGGGTGGGGGCATGGAGATAACAGTATGAAAATGCTGACCTTCATGAAGGCCACCCTCTTCCGGGGAGAGGGAAGGGAAAATGAACTGCCCTAACTCTGCAGGGGTCCCAGGGCCTGGAAGGGGGTCATCTGCCCCTTCAAAGTCCCAAATTTATCTTCCGCTCTCTCAGATTCCTGTCCCAAAATCAAAGAAAATTGCAAATATCGAGAAAGGAGCCATTGTCAAAAGCACAGAGACTGCCCGACGAAGATGAAGTGTTGTGATCTTAGCTGTGGAAAGAAATGTATAAATTCCAAGCAAGGTAACTTGCGGTCCCAGGGGAACCCATGTCCTCATCCCCCGTCCCCACTCTGCCCACCTACATGACCTTGTCAGACCCCGCCTTTGGTTTGCTGAAGACTTGATACAAACCCCATCAGTACCGAACTGAGGTATTGGGGAACAAGGGCTTTATTTCATTTCTGTCCCTATTTAAGTCTGTGATGTGATTATGCAGTTTTTCCCTTATGGGCCTTAGTTTCCTCATCTGTAAGAAAAAAGAGACATAGGGGGGACCTCCCTGGTGGCACTTGGGGTTAAGCAGAGCACTGTGAAGCTACCCACAGCTTCTGCAGCATGAGTTCAATCCCCAGCCGGCCAGGGAGCTATCCCCATGGCGCAGCAGACCTCTCCTGTCTCACCTGCTGCTCCCCTCAGCAGTGTATTTCAGTCAATCTGCCTGTTCTGCTCCCCACTCTGTCTCTGGTGAATCATCTCACCCCCGCACCTCTGGCCTGTACCCTAGTTCTTGTATGCATAGATAAATAAAGCTTAAAAACAAAAACCGCACAAATACATAAAAAAAAAAAACCAGGCTTTCACACTCCTCCATGATTTTGCACACGCCTGGAATGTCCTTCAGGGAGTCAGGCACCCAAACGGCTCTGTTCCGTGATCTCCCTGCAGACCTGTGCAGTTTGCCAGAGGATAGAGGTCCCTGCGTGGCCTTCCTTCCACGCTGGTGGTATGATAAAGTCGTCAACTTCTGCATCGCATTCATCTACGGTGGCTGCCTAGGAAACAATAACAACTTCCAATCTGAAGATATCTGCATGAAAGTCTGCAAAAAAAAATGTAAGTATTAGGGGCCGCTGTCTTCCAGGCTCACCTGGGCCCTGCCTGGTGTTGGCCAGCAAGTTCCCGGAACTTGGCAACGTCTAGGGCAGGTAGAAACAGTCCAATCCGGAGGGGAGAATGCACCTCCCTGAGAAACAAGTGGAGGGTGAGTTCTGAGTGAGGGTGGGAGGGATGCAGGAGTCAAGGGAAGTGGGTAAGAACAAGGTTATGAGGGGCTGCAGAGGGAGGAGGCAGGTGGTGGAGTGTCTGCAACCACGTCAGAGCCGTGACGTCACTCACCAGCCAATCATTCCAGGTCTTGACTTCTCCCAAGACCTCATTACCAATTCTCTTCCTTTGCCTTTTTAGGACAACTCTGTGTTTGGTTGACCAAACCAAGACACTTCTGAGAGTGAAAGAGGATGTCATTGGTGATGACAGTGGGGTATTGGCATAAATTAGGAAGCTACTGGGAAAACCAGACCAGTAGCTCTCTGAGCCCCAAAGTCACCTCCTGCCTAAAAAATGATGCCACCTCCCTTCCCCATTAACTCTACGATTTGGTTGCTAAAGTGAGTGGGGTCCAAGGATCTCACTCTTCTCTTTCCTGTTTGGCAGAGTTGCTGGAATAAGAAGCGGGGCAACCTCCAGCACGGGGACCTATTCCAGGCTCTCCCCGCACCCTCAGTGCTGGCTCCACTGGCCCAGTCTCAGCCAACAGGGCCTCGGCTGCTCCAACCTCCAGGTTTTCTGCTCCTTTCCCCCAGCTCTGCTTCTTCAAACATGCTACCTTTGGACCCCCTTCTCAGTATGCAACCCTATCTTTTCAACTTCCAGGGCCCCCACGTGTTTTTAGGAAGCCTGTTTCCCCTAATAAAGTGCTCCATGAGGTCTGATGTCTCTGAGGCTCAATATTTCTTTTTATTTGTTGGTTTATTTCTTTATTAATTGAGGTAGTGATCATTTTCAGCACTATATTCTAAGGTAGAGCTTCACAGGTCTTCAAGCGTATTCCACCCCACCACCAAAGTAGCCATAATCCCCCGCCACAGCCCATGGGGCCCCCTCCACCCTTTGCTCCTCACCCCCCCCCCACCTTTCGTCCCTCTGGAAGAGGCTGGATATTTTGCAATTGCTCCTTCTGTGCAGTTTTCAGTGAACAAGAAGTCATTGGGCCTTCCAGTGACACCCCGCGTGGAAGAGCGCCCAGTTGAAAGACAACAGTGATGGACTAATGACAGCAAAGGAAACTTCCAGATTTGAAAAAATACGGCATCTCGGGAGCCCTGCCCATTCTCGTGAACACCTGATGTTGTTCACATCTCAGGTGCCTCTCGCTCCCTGAGAGCGGCTGACACACACAAGTAGACGTCTGGGACAGAATCGCTGTCCTGGGGCCCATGGCCAGCGAGGCCCACGAAAGTGGCCAGAGAGTGCCCTGCAGTTGATCGGGTCTGCTCACCTGCTCAGAAAGGAATTCAGAGCCCCCGGGGATGAGCACAGGGATCCCTTGTCCCATAAGGTCCTCGTGGAAGATGCTGGGCTGTTTTGTTGTCTCCATCCCTCAAATGCAAACTTTATAGGGTGACAATTTCCAGGAAAGGGGTCATCTTCTGGCTCTCACAGAGGGAATTTCTCAAGTCTTATGGAGAATTTCAGGCTCCTCTGTCCTATAGGCATTTTCTCCCTTACTCTAAATCCTTATTTATATTCAGTGATTGAACATAAATAACTTAGAGAATGCTAACAATTACCCTCTGCTTTAACTTCCACTTGGATTTTTTAAAAGATTTATTTATGCATACAAAACAGGGGTGTAAGTCAGAGATATGGGGTTGGAGTATTCACGAGAGATAGAGTGGGGAACAGAACAGGCAGACTGACTTAAATACACTGCTGAGGGGAGCAGCGGGCAAGGCAGGAGAGGTCTGCTGTGCCATGTGGGTAGCTCCCTGGCAGGCCAGGGGATTGAACTCAGGCTGCAGAGGCTGCATACAGCTTCATACTTTGCATCTTACCCCTTGCGCCACCGGGAGACCCACCACTTGGAATTTTGAAGACAGAAATTGACTCTACTTTTAAGGTGATCAACCTTATTTTTCTTATTTTGAACATAAGTTAGGTAAAGACAGAAATAAACTGTCTTGGTTTGTACATATTTATGATAAACATATTGTTATATGGACAAGCACATCTTCTCTTAAGTCCCTGTCCCCCTAATCTGTAAAACGGGGATGGTAATAATCTCTCTCTCAAGGACTTTTGAAAAAATGAGAATGTAAGAGACAAGGCAGAAAATTCTCTGACATATAATCGACATTCAAGCAGTGTTCGTCCCCTTCCCGCTTTTATAAAAGATAAAGGTTAGGGCTTCCCCGGTAGCACAGCGGTTGCTCTGGGTTGCGAAGCTGCCCGCAGCCTCTGCGGTGTTGGTTCGATCCCCGGCTGCTCCCCGGCCACCGGAGGAGGGTCCCGCATGGCGCGCAGACCTCTCCTGCCACCCGCTGCTCCCCTCAGCAGTGTACTTCGGTCCCTCTGCCTGCTCTGCTCCCCGCTCTGGCTCTGGTGAATTCTCTCACCCTCCTGTGCTTCTGACTGTACCCAGTGCTTGTATAAATAAATAAATATATCTTAAAAAAGAAAAAAAGATAAAGGTTATATTGAGGTTGAAATCTGAACAAGGAAACTATTTTTTCAAAATTTCACTCTCATTTATTTTCCCCACCCCTACACCTCCTGAAAAGATGGTAAACTGTCTGAGAGGCCATTTAATTCTACACACATATGGTTGACACATAAATTTAATAGGTTACTTCGATGAATATAAGTGCTCACTAGCCAGCAAGTGCTTCCTGATAGCTTCTCAAATATGCATCTAATAACTTTTACACTGGTCCTCCAGCTTCTGGAATTGTAGTAACTTGCCACCCAAATCATCTAAGGAAGGGTCAAGTCACTGATCATGGTATACCCAGGACAACACAGGCACAGAATGTCTGGTTTTGAAAGGTCAGTGCCTCTCCCTTCCACCCACAAGGCCTATTCAGCCAAATTGCAGGTACACCAGACACACAAACACTGCCCTCACTATGGGGTCTGCATCATGCATCTGGAGCCAAAAATATTTGTATAATTTCAAAAAATGTTTATGTCAATAACTCTTCTGCAGAATTTCCTAGTCTTGGTTCTGTTGCCATTTGGGACCAGATAAACCTCTACCGTGAGAATTTTCCTGTGCATTGTAGGGTGTGCATTGCAGGGTGTGCATTGCATTGTAGGGTGCATTGTAGGGTGTGCATAGTAGGGTGTGCATTGTAGGGTGTGCATTGTAGGGTGTGTAGTAATAACATCCTTTGCCTCTGCCAGTAGATGCCTCCCGCTCCAGCGCTATGACAATCAAAAATGTATCTAGACATTGCCAAGCATGACGCACAATTGCCCCTTCCCCAAATGAAAACTTATTTTCTCAATAGTGTGTTAAGGGGCTTCCCTAGTGGTGCAAGGGGTTAAGCACAGCACTGCGAAGCTCTCCGCAGCCACTGCAGCACGAGTTCGATCCCCGGCCAGGCAGCTACTCACATGGAGCAGCAGACCTCTCCTGACTCGCCTGCCGCTCCCCTCAGCAGTGTATTTCAGTATATGTGCATGTTCTTCTCCCCTCTCTGTCTCTGGTGAATCCTCTCACTCCCCGCACCTCTGGCCTGTACCTCCGTTCTTGTATGCATAAATAAATAAATCTTTAAAAAAATAAGAAAGAGAAGAAGAGAAAACAAGCTAGACAGGTAACGAAGAAAGCTATTCATTGGTGGAGGGGTGGTGAAAAATGAATTCTTGGAAAGCACTAAACAACTGACAACACACACACACTCACATACACCTATATGCACACATGCACAGAGGGTATCATCATCATCCTCATTCCATAAGGAAGCAGGTCAAAAAAATTTCCTTTGGTTTAATGAAGTGGCGGAGCAGAGTGACAGGACAGAAAATAAAAAGTAAATGGGACTGCAGCCCCTGCAGTCACCTGTAAGGCAGGGGTGAGGTTGCTGTGATAAGGAACATTCCAACATGCCCCAATCTGTCTCCCATCTTCTTTTTTAAATATTTATTTAAAAAGTTCTTGCGTACAAGAACTGGGGTACAGACCAGAGGTGTGGTGGGGTGTGAGAGGATTCACCAGAGACAGAGTGGGGAACAGAACAGGCAGACTAACTGAAATACACTGCTGAGGGGAGCAGTGGGAGAGACAGGAGAGGTCTGCTGCACCATGTGGGCAGCTCCTTGGCCGGTTGGGGATCGAACTCATGCTGCAGAGGCTGTGGACAGCTTCACAGTGCTGTGCTTAACCCGTTGTGCCACCAGGGAGGCTCTGTCTCCCATCTTGTGGGATAGTCCAGGATAATTAACTGAACAAGTCATTCTGCTGCTTTCCCATTGTCCTGTGCTCTTAGAGACAGCTTTATAGTAGAAGACAGAGACGGAATCTTTCCTCTGCCCCAATTGATGCCTGAAAGTTTACCATAAGAGTGAGCATCCATCCATCCACCCATCCATTCACCCTACAATAACAAATATGGGTTGAGAACCTATAAGTCTTTGCAGTCTGACTATTCCAGTTCTGATTCTTGGTCCTACCACTTTCCAACATGGCATAAGAAAGGCTCTTTGGGGCCTCCCCAGTGGCGCTGCAGTTGAGCGCTGGGATGCGAAGCTGCCCGCAGCCTCTGCAGCGCCAGTTCGATCCCCAGCTGCCTGCGAGGGTCCCACATGGCGTGCAGACCTCTCCTGCCGCCCGCTGCTCCCCTCAGCAGTGTACCTCATCAGTCTGCCTGTTCTGCTCCCGGCTCTGGCTCTGGTGAATCCTCTCACCGCCCCGCGCTTCTGACTGTACCCAGTGCTTGTATAAATAAATAAATAAATAAATAAATAAATCTTTAAAAAAAAAAAAAGGAAGGCACTTTGCCTCTCTAACCTTAGTTTCTTCCTGTAATGTTGGAGGTCCTAATACCTACCCTGAAGAATAATTGCAAGGATAAGCCATTTACATAAAAAAGGACATAAAAAAAGAATACAGGGCCTCCCCGGTGGCGCAGCGGTTGAGCGCTGGGTTGCGAAGCTGCCTGCAGCCTCTGCAGCGCCGGTTCGATCCCCGGCTGCTCCCCGGCCACGGGAGAAGGGTCCCACATGGCGCGCAGACCTCTCCTGCCGCCCGCTGCTCCCCTCAGCAGTGTACTTCGGTCCTTCTCTCTGTTCTGTTCCCTGCTCTGGCTCTGGTGAGTTCTCTCACCCTCCCGCGCTTCTGACTGTACCCAGTGCTTGTATAAATAAATAAATATTTAAAAAAAAAAAAAAAAGAATACAAAGAAACTTATATCCCTGCCTCAGAG